CGCGAGCGAGCGACAGCACTCAGGTGACAGTCGGATACTGGGGTACTGTCCATGGGCTTATGCAGGGGATGTTCTTTCAGCCAGAGGGGGAGGATGGGGCGCGATGCTGCAAGGTATGCGAGGTGCCGATCGGTTGGGGTGAGAGCAGCACCGGTTCGGTGTGGAAGCACATGCGCTCGTTCCACATGCCTCACCTCCAGATCTAGTATCGCATGTTCACTGATGCCAACAAGAAGCCGGGGTTGGAGTTTCCGGCGAAGGGGTACCCGGGGGTGCCAGGCGGACCAGACCCGTGGGAGCACGCTGACGCATACCCCGACATCCCTGGTGCGGGCACGGGCGGTTCGGGTGGGGGTGTCGAGGCGGGTCAACGGCAGATCCCTCAGTTCTTCGGTCGTCGCGTCACGCAGGAGCGTCTGCGCCACGCTCTTGTCGAGCTGTTCGCAGACGCGGACCTTCCTTTCCGCCTGGTCGACCGCCCCTCGGTAAGAACTGACAGAGATAAGCTTCTAACGTTTTGCGCCAGTTCACCTCTGCGCATTATCACTCTCCCACGTTTCGCTATGGATTCTCACCCCAACCATGTAGAGCGGCACTTCTGCACACGTCCATCTACTCCCCCCCCCCCCCCCTTTCCCTTCCCTCCCTTTCCCAGTTCCGCCGCTACACCCGCCTCCTCAATCCTCCCGCTGCAAACTGCTCGGCTCCCGTTTCCGCCTCGCTCGCGACATGCTTGTGCAAGGCGACGCCACGCGCGAGCGCCAGCTGCAGGACATTGTTGGTGATGGTGCGGCGGGGAAGGTCTCCCTCACCACGGACATTTGGTCGAGCCCGGCGCAAGACGCTTTCCTTGCCGTCACAGCGCACTGGATCACGACAGACTTCCAGTTGCGCCAGGCGCTGCTAGAGTTTGAGGAGATTCAGGGATCGCACACCGGGGTGCTGATTGCAGAGACGTTGGAGAAGGTCATATTGGATTGGGGGCTGAAAGACTCTGTGCTCGGCATCACGACGGACAATGCCGATAACAACATCAATGACTGGCGACCCAAGACCGAGGACGCCCGCAACCCACCAGTGCTGAACCCCGGCTTCTTCTTCAGGTGTGTGGTGCATGCCATGCCATGCCATGCCATGCCATGCCATGCCATGCCAGGCCATGCCATGTCATGCTGGTGCCATGCCATGCCATGCCATGCCATGACATGCCATGACATGCCATGACATGCCATGCTGGTGCCATGCCATGCCATGCCATGCCATGCCATGCAATGCTGGTGCCATGCCATGCCATGCCATGCCATGCCATGCCATGCCATGCCACGGACTCTCTCCCCTTCAGGTGTCTGGAGCACATCCTGAACCTCGCGGTCCAGAAGGCACTTGGTGTCCCAGCAGTCCTCGAGCCGCTCAAGCGTATGCGGGAGATTGCGTCGTTCATTGGGTGGAGCACGACGCGCTCGGACGCGTTAGAGGACGAGCAGCTGCGGCTAGCGGGTCAGAGCGGCCACGTTCTTCGCCTCATCAGCAACACCTCCACGTGATGGGGGTCGTCCTTTGAGATGGTGGAGCGCTTCCTGAAACTGAAAGATCCTATTCTACTGTACTTCTCAGGACTCGAGGTGTGGTTCCCAAACTCCTGCTTTGCCATCATTCGCGTGCATTCTTTTCCTCATTGAAATGCTGACCGTCTCCCAAGTTCGCCCATGCGTATTACCCTCCCTAAACATTATTTCCCTCCTCCGATACGTTGTGTTCCTCGAAATCCCCCATTCCACAGTCGGCACGCGACAAGCGGACGCGCGAACAGGCTGCGCGTGTCCGCCTCGCAGACGCGCACTGGGACGCTCTGAGGGTTCTGGCGGAATTCCTCAAGCCCTTCCATGACATCACTACTGCGGCAGAGGGGTCGTTGTACCTCACTGCCACAGCAGTGGTGCCGCAGTACAACCTGCTCATGGATGAGCTTGAGTGTCTCTACCACGACCCCAGTACCGGGGAGCTGTGCAAGCTGTTGCCGGAGGCAGCTCTAAAGGTACTGAAGAAGTATGTGTACGGCATCAGCATGGAGCTGGCAGTGGCGACATTTTTGGACCCCAGGTTCAAGCAGCTCTACTTCCAGCTCGAGCGGTGGGAGGGGGCCCACCCTGAGCTAGCGGGAGAGGCCGCTGGGGGGCGTAGGGCAGTGCGCGACGTCACATTGGAGCAGGTGGTGACATGGGTCAGGGCGCGCTTGCAGTCTTACCTGGACGAGCAGAGCAGGCGTGCGGTGGACGGGGGCCAGGAGGGGACGAGCACAGGGGGAGCGCGGGTCGGGGGGGGGAGGGGTGTTGCCAGGGCCTGAGGTGGGGGGCGCTTGTTTGACATGCTCGGCTCGGCGATGGCAGAGGTGGAGGCGAGAACGGGAGTGGCCGCGCCGGACGAGGTTCAGAGGTACCTCCAGGAGGCGCGCTTGGACATGGACGGGTGTCCACTCGCTTGGTGGCGCGCGCGCTCGTCGTACCCGGGGTTGCAGGCGATGGCACGAGACTACCTTGCCATCCCTGCAACCTCAGCACCGAGCGAGCTGGCGTTCAGCCAGGGGCGGAACGTGGTCACCTGGCAGCGTCACCGCCTGAGCACTGCTCAGGTGCGTGCATCAATGACTCTCAAGTCATGGATGGCACAGCGCGCCGACGGCAGCCTCCCACTGGCGACGCTGGATCGGGCCATGGGGGGGCTGTGCCTTGAGGGTGACGACGAGGGGTTGTGAGGCATGGGTACAGGGTTAGCCCATATGGGCAGATTTTCGTATGACGTACATTCGTGTCCTTGCTGTGCCATGCCCAGACCCAGCATTGAGCTCTAGGGCCATGCAGACATGGCATCATGCTTGTCAAATGATTGTGAACAGAGGTAGAGTGAACTGTGTGCATTTTATTCATAGTACGTATATTTTCATCCCATGAATACCAAACCCGAACAAGCTACACAAGTAAGGAGTATCGTGGTGGTGGCAACAAACCCACATAAATGCGTGGAAATCTCTTTCTCAAAACCATATTGCTGTCTCAACCCTAGGGGTCAGTTAGATGAACAGTGATGAACATCTTGTGCTAAAAAAACACCTCGTTTCGGCCTTCTTGAGTGGGCGGGTAGCATTACCCGCCTTTAAACTATGTCGGGTCGGGTATACCCGGACCCGCCTGGCGAGTATTAAAATACCCGCCCCAGGGAAACCGGGTCTGGGTATTGGTCCGGCATGTAATACCCGACCCGTATCCGACCCGAAATTACCCGACCCGACGTCGGGTATAGCAAAACCGGGTCGGGTCGGGTAATTACCCGGTTTTGCTCAAGCCTACTCCCAACCAACCCAACACCCATCCCATGGCTAGTTTTCGCCAACATCCAACCCACATCTCGAGGTTGTGGATGGGAGGATGAGGTGGACGCATGGGCTAGACACGAGGAGGACCAATTCGAAATTCGCATCCCAGGGGTCGGTAACGATTTTCGCAACCCTCTCTTGAGAGGGTCAAAGGGCAAGGGTGCCTATAACCCCTGTGGAGTAGAACGGGAAGAGCACTTTCGAAATAACAAAGGCAGAGTTCAGGGAATCCCCACCCCCACCCCCACTCATGTCAAGGAATCCTCGCCTCGGGTCGAGGATTTTTTCCTCGGCCCGAGGATTACAATCCTCGCCCCTAAAACCCGGGGGGTCGAGGAGGGAATCTTAAGAAAAATCCTCGGCGAGGATTCCTCGACCCCCCTCGGCTGGGGCTAGACATGGGCCAAAAAAATTGCATCGCATCGCATCGCATCGCATTGAATCGCGTTTTTGCGATGGCGATATTTTATTTTATTTTATCATCGCGCGATGCGATGAATTAATATCGCGCGATTTAATATAAATCGCATTTTAATCGCGCTAAAAAACGCGATTTAAATGCGATATGCGATTTTTAAAAAATCGCGCGCGATATTGCACTGAAACTCACTCTGAAACCCACTACGAAACCACACTGGTTATTTGCACTCTAGCTTACGACTGCTCGTGAGTCAATTTCCCCGCAGCCATGTTTTTTTCCTGTTTTTTTAAGGTGTTTTTTTTTACGTTTTAAAATGCGATGCGAATTAAAATCGCATTGCACGATTTAATTTAATATCGCATGCGATTTTTTAATACATCACGGGTAAAATGCGATGTGCGATTTCTTTTTTTTTTGAAAATAAATCGCGCGATGCGATTTAAAATCGCATCGCCTTTTTAAACATAGCACCTGCATGTGATGCGATTTAAATCGCAATCGCGTTTTGATCATGCCTAGCTGGGGCGCGAGGAGGAGATCCTCAGGTCAAGGAATCCTCGCCTCGCCTCGTGCTCATGCCTACCGACCCGCCTCAAAAGCGGATCCGGGTCCGGGTACTCAACATGGGATTTGTCTACTTCTATACAACAGAAAGGAAAGGGATGGCGTGGGCAAGTATGGATGGGAGCAGGGTTTACTGACTTCTATGGAAACAGCTAGCTATCTAGCACCAAGTCAGCAGATGGATGGATACTATGGAAAGAGGGGAAAGGAGACACAAAGTGCTCACAAGTATACAGGACTCGACTCGCCGACTGGACTGGGCTGAATGGTTGACTAGCATCATTGGAGTTGTGTTGAGTCGGTGTTTAGTCGCCGACGCATCGCTGGCTCGACTGAAATCTATACCCAAAAAAATGACTCGTCGAGTTGCATGACTCAACACGAATCGGATTGACTCGCGACAAGTCGGGACCCCCTGATTAATAAGTATCAAAAACACACGGAGTTCGTATTTTTAGGCTGGAAAAAGTCTGACTCAACTCGACTCGACAGCCCTGACAAAAGTCCATACTTTTGTCTGACCCAACTGCAGCCCGACTGACTCGAGGCCTGGCAACTCGAGGCCTCGACACAGGAGTCGACTCGAGACAGACTCGAAAAGACTTGACTCACCTCCACGGACCACGCCTGATCAAGTCTACTCACAAGAAAGAGAGGGAGGTGAGGGTGCCGAGCTGTGCAGGCAGCTCCCCCGTCCAGTCGACAGTGGATATGGTGCTTCAACGATATGACACACGCGAAGGCACCAATGATAGGTATGACACAAGGTGTCGGGGAGTTGGGGAAGGGCGTTGGCAGTACTACTGACAAAGTGAAGGCCGACAAGGTTTAGGAAAATTGCAGAAGCCACCCGGTAATGAGCTTCTAACAAACGACAAGTAGGTTCTCCTGATTCCATCATAGAACAGTACGGGATAAAGAAACATGGAACAACGAGATAATGATTAAGATCTAAAAAACGATGTCACACAGCTTTGCTACCGCAACCTTAGCTTAACAACGTTGTGTAACAAAAGAAAATGAGTAAGTGA